CTATTTATTTGTCTCTCTTTTGGGTGACTGTACACATTTCATCATTTATAGAAAGATAATCGGAAAGTCATTACTTGTCCTCAGTGTACACTTAATTCAGTGCAAAGGAAGGCAATGAAACAAGCATTATGAAAGCTGCAAAACAGGACACCTTACTTTGTTGATATTCCACAGGTAAGCCTTTATATTGGGTTCAATCTTCCAGCGGGATCTTAGACAACTTACAACAAACGACAGCAACACACGCGAAATCTCCCTTACAGTTAGCAGCACAAATTAAAAGCAGCCACAAGGACAAAATGACAGTTGGGTCCTCTCCAAGCACAAGCACGAGAATGAAGGTGACAGGACAGCATTCAGTGGAGAGAAACCTGATGATTTTATCGGGTTTTTTGCATTCCTGTGGGACTTCGCTCTGATTTCTCATGGGCAATCAGATGAAAATTGTCAATTGTGATCATTGGGAAATACCTAGCAGAATCTGACAGTACAGCTCTGAAATGTTTCTCACTACCTTAGAATTTCTGGAATCATAATCCTGAGAGAAAGACAGTGGAGTTGGAAAGGCAGCTATTTTGACCCCCATTTCCAAGGGAACGGTACCAACCACTAACTTTTAATGAATGTCAGCCCTTGACAGCTTCACTTCCTGGGCCCAGTTTTTCAAGAAGGAACCTAAACATCTCTGCATAAAACTGTTTTGACGGGCATGATAGTTTTCTTCGCCTTTGAAAGGAAAACAACAATAATTAAACACTCAGAGCGCCCATGGATGAGGTTAATTGTTTTTTTATTATTTAAGAAATAAAATCATCAGACTCTTTGCAAACAGGACCTAATTAATGCAACTAGTTTCATCATAATTATCAAAATCTCAGGACAAATTCTGTATTCTTGATGTTCCATGTGCACGAAATCCCTTTAGCCTTAACAACACTGGCCACCAGAGTTTACCAAAAGGTACTGTGAAGAAACAAGCCCATTAGAATGACAGGTTTCATTTACCAGAAGATATTAAAATCCTGTCACAATGTGATTTCTATCAAGAAGGTTTTCACTGAAATAATAAAAAATGAATGAAGGAAATCAAAGGTAGTCATCTAGTTAAATATTTATTTTCTAATCTTTAGGGAGGTGTTTATTATACTTTGAACACCTGGCCTTTAGTAGCACGTGGTCTGGTTTTAAACTTGTTATCACGCCACAGCAAATTCCAAGAGGGCTGTAAATTAAGCCCATTATGAAAAAGCCAAGATAACAAAGTGCCCTCCTTCTCCATCCAGGAATGATATAGGGAAACTGATTCCAGAACAAAATACCTAGATACTCCTACAGCCGGGGCTTAGGTGAAGCTACTAACGGTACAAATCTTCAGGGGGGGCTTCCTTCAGAGTTGCTGAGATTCAATGCTTGCATCACGCTCATAGGAAGGGTCTCCTTAAATTTTGCACCCTGGATAACTCATTTACCTCACTCCAGTCCGGGTTCTAAGCCCCCTGGCACTTGTCATCATAGTATTTAATTTTAAAGTTTTATTGAAAAACATGGAAACAACAATAAACAATGTTTCATGTATCTGATAGAATTGTTAAGACAGTATGTTCTCCACAACTGCAACTTAAGACAACATACTTTTTGATGTATATAATAGAGAAAATCAGCGCAGACATCTACAGTGGGCAGAAGAGGTAAGAGACGAGGTGAAATGTGACCTTTGCAGGTCATTTCCTAATCTCATTTCCCTCCAGGACGTGCGCTGGACCGAAGAAGTCAGATGCACCAGGGAAAACGTAAGAAGGAAAGAAACACAGCGTGCATAAGGCAAAGAACTTGAGAAGGCACATGGCTCACTGAAACGAAAGGAAAAGTGAAACAGTCCGCATGCTTCGGCGGGAGGCGGAAAGAAAGTGGTTGCAGAAACCAGGATTTCACTCCTTGGTTCAAATCTGAACCTTGTCGTGTTAGGAGAACTTTCTGAAGGAAGTTAATGTCTGGGAAATAGGTTCCTCATCTATCAAGTAAGACTGATAGAAACGACAGTAAACCAACACCAAAGCAAGAGCGGGCTCACTGCCGTGCTCCCCATGTACCCAGCACCTGGAACAAGTGTCACCTCAGTTTGTGACAAAGCCCTGGGAGACAGGCTTGTTCCCATTTTACTGAAAAGGAAATTCTGGTAACATAATGCATTACATCATACAGACCATACACATATAGTATAATGATAATACATGAAGTTTTTTTGTTTTATATATATATATGCATTTGTATATACATATAGATGTATATGTATTTATA